CGATGAGGTCTCCCCTCAGCCTCCTTTTCTCCAGGCTAAACAACACCAGCTCCCTCAGCCGCTCCTCATCAGACTTGTTCTCCAGACCCCTCACCAGCCTCGTTGCCCTTCTCTGGACACACTCCAACACCTCATGAATGCTGTGGTTTAACTTGATCCTTTGAGACATAGTTCTCCATATTGTTGGCTTTATTGCTCGGACTTACCATACCAGTGTACTGGTTTAATAAAATCCCTATCGTATAGGAAAATGGCTCCTTAGTGAATCATTAGCACCTCTTTCCTGAAATAGGTGAAAATGTAAATGTAGAGGTCAGACATCTTTGCTGTGACAGAGGGTTTTTGGTTGTTTTTTTTTAAATGCAGACACTCACTAGGTGAGTCGTAAAGCTAGCCATTAAAATACACTTATTAATACTCTCTATTAAAAAGCATGTACCATTTTCTTTCACCTGCTTGTTATGATTTGAATTAAGAAAAGAAAACCAAAAGAAATCACAATGAATCCAGCTGGTTGTGATTCAAGCCTGCCACGCAATTAGATGCTCAGCCGCACGTATTTCCATCAACCGCAGATTGAAAAACTTCCTGCACCTTTAACCAACTTTAAATTTAGCACGAACACATAATATCCAATCTGTAAAGGGCGGTAGAAAGACAACAGGAAGGTCAAACATACAGTCAGCTCATCTCTGCCCCTGGTATCTTGTCTGCACTTGCTGTTGGCACTAGTAAATGATGCAGTGTAGGAGAAATACCGTATTAAAAGCTTTATTCAAAACTATTGCAGATCATTATCTGATGGCTCCATTGCAATAGCTCTATTTGTTGATGTTGGATTGTTCTCAATACAAAAATGACGTGGAAAGTTACGAGTAAAGCTCAGTAGGTGCAAAAAACACCTTAGGAGAATTATGAAAGTGTTTTTTATGCAAAAAACACTTTTAGGAGAATTCACATTTCCTGGCTTGCACTCATTAAAAATAAGCAGTAAAAATACAAAGCAAGGATAAAAAGTTTCGTGATTTCCCCTTCTTTTGGATAGGAATTGGCTGGGAACTTGCCGACTTCCTCTCACTGAAAATATTTCTGAAATCGAAGAGGTCTGTGCTTATTTGGACAAAAGGGACACCACATATGAGCCAATGAAAGATGCTTTAAAACGCTATCTGAAACAACAGCTGCCAGCAGAGAGCAGAGATTATGGTAAGTCACGATTTCTCGAGAACTCTTTCATTTTGAAGTAGAATGAGCAGTATTGCCTGAATACAATTCATCAGTCAATGATTTACATCTACTTTTGAGGGATTGTTACAGTAGGGAAATAACCTGAAGGTCTCACTGACGGACAGTGTGTGTTTTCCAAACATCTACTGCTACTCCGTTGCTTTATTAACTGGCTGTTGCCGATCAGTGAACACTGGAGTAGTAACATTAGGTTCTAGGTGAAACATAGAGCAAGTCTACACTGGGTTTAGGTAGTACTGTTCATGTTTTTTGATAACTTTACTCGCTAGACTTGCCAGTTTTATTCATGACTGAACTAATTTGCTGAATCCAGTTCCTTCAAGCCAAGACAGTCCAAGTTACTTTCATGTTCTACCTTAAAGATAGCGAGGTTTCTTTTGCTCCCACATTTCTGATGTGGGAATGTTCTTACAACTCTTGCTGTTAAACCAAGGAATCTATTTCTAACTTCCAGCCTAAGTGCATTCACAGCCACAATTAGCTCTTGCTAAACTGACCTTTAACTTAAATGCTGTTTCCATGTTGGTTTATCCCCTCTTCTCCTCTAATGCATCTATAGAAAAATCGTGACATTTTCTATCAGCCCTTATTGTGGCTTTTTAACGAGGGTTAATATGATTCCCTGCTTAACCGAAGGATTTTTCTTTTCACCTATCCTAGTTGCCCCATATTCATAGAATTTAGGTCAGAAGAGATGTCTGGAGGTCATTTAGTCCAACTCTCTTCTCAGAGCAGGCTGGGTTGCTCAGGACCTTACCAGGAAAAGCTTTCAGTATCTCCAAGGATGGAGATCCTGCAGCCTTTCGGGACTCCTGTTCCAATAGTTGACTACCCTTGCGCTAAATGAAGTCATACATGTAATTTCCTATGTTCCAACTTTTTTCCATTGCCTCTTGGCCTAGCACTTGGCACCTCCAAGAAGAGTCTGGCTCTGTCTTCCCTACGCTGTAGACAGTGATAAGATCCTCCTCTAACCTGTTCTTCCTAAGGCTGAACACAGCCAGTTCTTTCCACCTTTTCTGTTATGCCATGTGCTCCAGGAAAGATAAATTTAATCACACTCTGTACAAGGTAATCCAGTTTTAGGCTATTCTACTATTAATTCTGCTGGAGTTAGCTTCCTCAGCACATCCTACAGTCTCATTTGCAGTTCCCTGTTCCACTGGTGGCAAACAATCTCTGTGATGAATGAGAGCAGACATCCCTTTGCCCCATCCAAGCACAAGCTTCCTGGTTCAAACTTCAGCTTGTAGGATCCTCACTGTATTTCCTACTGTTTATTTGCAAGTCTGACTTCTTATTTTGTAGCTGCGACCTTACTTCCAGCTTACTCCACCCTCAAGGTCCTTTGAGTTTTTCCGTAGGGCACGCTTATCCTTCCAGTTTTGAGCCGTCAGCATCCTTCACCAGGATAAGGTGAAGTGGCTTATGTTTGAAGTATTCTTCCCTGCCCCACCACGCAATAGGAGTGTATGTAGAAAGGAGTGAATCTTATCAATTCTTAGATGGCATTTATAATCCTTGAGAAAGAGGGTTTGATCTTAAATTGAAGCAGCAGTTACGGAATTCTGTGTCATTATTGTGTAGCCCGTTGGATAACGCATGTTAGAAAAAAACAACTCTGTGACACAAATGTCTTAGCAGTAAATGATGCTTCAGTTGTACATGTGTTATGGAAGATGGATAGTCCCATTATAGCAGCTACATCAGACAAGCACATGCTAGTTTGTTCATTGTTTAGAGATAGTAGAATCTATTAATACAGTTATCCATAGCCCTATAAATAATTTCTTTAAGAGCATGACTTACCTGTATCTTCTGTAAAGGCCTGGGCTATTGTCAGAAACAAAATCCTTTGTGGTGGAGCCCTTTTCAAAGTTAAGTTTGTTTATTTTTAACAATTTCTTTTGAATGCAAATGTATTTTGATTTTCCTAAAGCAGTGTCCCAGGACTGACTTACTAGAAATAGTAATGTGAACTATATTGTTAATTATTTCAACAGAAACTTGCCCAGATTTTTGTTGCCACGCTAAGGTAAGACGTGGACTGAACCCAGACTAAAACCTACCCAAAGCTGTTACATTATACCTGCTCTCTGCGCGTAGCTGCTCTTTGAGGCTTGTACCTGCCCCAATACTGTCATCTTCAAAGGAAATAACGAAGTGGGGCTCCTTGCGAGGATGGAAGACGGTGCAGCAGCCCTATTCCAGGTTGCCCTGGAATTCCACTAGCTTTACACTTCCTGACGAGCCGAGTCTTCGCTTTCAAAGACCTTTCAGATTTCCCCCTTATTTCCAATACTTCACAAGTAAATTATTTCTTTCTGTGGCAACGTAACAGTATACGTAGCTTCACCTACCTTAGGTGACATAAATGCGCCTGCTCAGCAGAGCAAACATCGCTATGCTAATGCGTGTAGCCTTCTTGCTAGTATTATTTTTTAACCGACTGAGGAGAGGTGGTTTGGCTGCAGCATGGATGGACCAAGTTGCCTGCTGTTGTGACATTGCGTCCGGACTTGCCTTTCGCTTGCAGTTGCGTGTGACCCCGAAACAAAGCGTGAGAGTTCCAGCTCTGTGTGCATAGAGTACGCTCTATTACCTCACTGTTTCAAAGAATTATTAGTTGCAATATTTTGATGTAAAACCCCGTATCATATTAACTTGGTATCCGTAACAAAATAGCCACCACTTGCAGTTATTTTAGTTGTCCCCTTTCCATTTGTTACTCCATCTCTAGACGCAGACTGGACAGCAGAAGTATCCGTATGCTCACTCCGCCAGATTGTGAAAGTTTATGTAGGAAGTAACTGGTATGAAACTTACTTACAGACTTTATTGAAGGTACAGGTAAAGTATTTGTCTTTGCATTGCCTTCACGTGAACCTTCCTAGACAGAATTTATAATTCTGCAGACTAGAATCTATATTTCTAGCAATAAGAATTATTAGAATGGTTTTGACCTGAAAACTTGGAGTTATCAGAGCTTCACATGTAGACTGGGCATTTTGTACTAAGGGAAGTATGTTCAAGTACCTGAAGGAAACAACTCTTGGGACTTCCCAAGAAAGTACTTTCTGGGCTAATAATATAAGTATTTTGACCAATAATGTAAATAGACTTGATGGAACTGGTTTAATTCTTTTACTGAGGAAGGAAAAATCCTGTTTGGATTTCTTTCTCTCCATCACTAACACCAGAAATCTGGCCTTAATGTATTTTTACTTTTGTAGTACCCAGAGCTGCTGTCAAATGACAAGAAAGTCTGTTGGATCACGTATGGTCAAAGTCTTCTAATCCATGGAGATGGGCAAATGTTTCGGCACGTTCTCAACTTTCTAAGACTTGGGAAATTGTTTTTGCCAGCTGAATTTAAGTAAGCAGAGTGAATTTATGCGCTTCTTTTATATTATTAGAGGGCTGTCGGGGAAGCAAGCATGGGGATTTGCCTTCTGGTTTTGGTAGAAATATTATCCAGTAGAATTAAGACTTTTCTTTTTAGTCCCAAAGTAAACTATTCTATCTAAACATAAATTACTGGGATTTAGAGATTGTGAGAGATGTTTTTGTTTCCATGTGTATGTCTTTAAGGATCGATACGCCAGACACTTGTACTGCAGGCTGTATCACAGATCGGTGCATTGCGTGCACGCCTTTAGCAAAAAGGAAAATGTTTTTATTGATGAGATCATTGCATCCCTCCTCAGATTTCTTTGTCTTTTTATACGGCAGAGACAGCAAAGTCTGGCTAGTCCAGCTGAAAAACACTCCATCTGCCCCCTCTACCGGTGTCTCTGTTCTAGTGCTGAAAAATATATCTTCCAAAACTGCAGTGGAACAGGAATGGAGGAACACGGGTGCCTAAAGAGGGGAGGGCACTCTCCCTCCATATGCGTATCAATCTATTAGGTCTCTAAATTTTGTCAATCCTCAGAAATTGAAATGGCTTAAAACACCGGTCTCCTAAGGATATTCGTGCTTCACTTGCCCCTGAGATTGCTCGGAACAGACCCTTTGGTGCTATGGCTTCTTGTAGCAGTTTCCCTGCTTCTGCCACCGCTACGTGTTACAATTTTTTGCATTCAGCAATGAAGGTTTGCCTGGCATCAGAAGATCTTTGGGTCTCTTCAGTTCTGGAAGCCCTTGCTTGTTGGATCGTTTCTAGTAGGCAGAATATCCGCTACGGGTCACCAGCTGATGTGGTCATTTTTAGCACATTTACCTGTTTCCAAGAGGAGTAGGTATTTTCATTCCTTTTCCCCAAAGTCAATAGCCCTGTTACACCAGTGGCTTCTTTGATATAATAACCACCGCTTGCTTTCATGTCTGACATGAAAGGCACAGGCAGCCAGATGTCAGACACTACGGTTATATCTATACAAGCAAAGCAAACTAATGTCAGGGAACGTTTCTGGTCACTGAGGCCAGCTGCCTTTCTGCCAGTCATCTGCTTTAACCTCCCGGAGATGGTGGTTTCACTCCTCCCGGCCGCTGCAAACAGTTCCGGGAACATCTGAATGGCCAAACCATGCCCGGGAATTGTTGGAGAGAGTGTAAATTGGGTAGGACCAAGCACAATGCTAATAATTACTAGCAGAGATAATCATGTTCTAGGGCTAAGAGTATTTCTGGGAAAGGCCAATGGCATCCTGGCCTGTATCAGGAGCGGCTGAGGGAACTGGGGTTGTTTAGCCTGGAGAAAAGGAGGCTGAGGGGAGACCTCATCGCTCTCTACAACCACCTGAAAGGAGGTTGTGGCGAGGTGGGGGTCGGTCTCTTCTCCCAAGTAACAAG